TTACGCGGTACAAGCCATGATCGTAATTAATGCCCATGCCGAAACAAGTAATGAGTATAGATATTAATGAGACTATATATATATATATATATATATATATATATATATATATATATATATATATATATATATATATACAAACCAATGGCGGAACTAGAAAAAGGGCCATCCAGCAAAAACATTTTTTTGGTCCCCCATATATATATATATATATATATATATATATATATATATATATATATATATATATATATATATATATATATATATATATATATATATATATATATATATATATATATATATATATATATATGTAATATATAAAGCTCAATTCTGTATGCTTAATAAATGTTTGTAATAAGTTTGTCGCGGATACTTCGATGGATTTAAGTGTTTATTATAGTACTCAGGGTCTAAATTTATGGATTAAAAAATTACTATTGAAAGTCTTTAAAAACAATTTTCATTTTATATACTTAGAATAATAATTTTCAATTATAAACATTACGTAAAATTACAAAAAAAGTGTATCAACGTTTACAAAATGTCTAAAATTGTGTCTGAAATGTATTTGCATTTTCGTCCCTTGATTTGGAAAACACAGTTACTTTCCTTTAAAAACCCCATTAAATTGGGGGAAGAAAGAATTTCCTTTTTATTACTTTGTTTTGGTGTTAGGAGAAAAAAAATAATCACATAATTAGCGTGGATTGATTAAGTGCAATGTCGTTGGTATTTTTAATACTGCCTTTTATTTTTTTCTATACACTGAACATACAGTTAACTATTAATTTTTTAAAATCAATAACATTTAATAAGCCAGGTCCTACAAATCCTATATGTTTATTTCTTTCCATTTACGAATAAGCTTGGAGTATTACAATTTTGTTCACTAAATTGAAACAGGCGCGACCGCCGGCGCTCCTGCTCGGGTCGATTTGGCGCCCTGGGCTATCATGTGAGCGCTATGCTGCATAATTTCGTTTTAAACAGTGCGATAGACTATGGATAAGAAAGGTTACTATAGTCTTTAAGTAAATCAAATCCGGGCGCCCTCCGGCACCCCGACAGGGTGCTATTTTGCGCCCCGGCTCTTCCTGTGTTCGCAATGGTACATACGTTTGCGTAAGTGAGTTCAAAAGACTATGAATAAGTTGGGTACTATAGTCGTTTACTAAGTTGAATCAGGCGGTTACGCCGCACGTCGTCATGGTGCGATTTGGCATCCCGGGCGAGACTGCGGAAACTTTGAGTTTATATTTGCGTTTTTGTTTTCTTTGTGTTTGAGTTTGGGTTTGCGTTTGTGGTTGTGTTTGCGTTTGGATTTGGGTTTGGGTTTGGGTTTAATTTAATTTGCTTTTTTTCTTTGCGTTTGTGCTTTCGTTTGCTTTTTCTTTGATTTTGTGTTTTCTTTGTGTTTGTGGTTGTGTTTGTGTTTGCGTTTGTTTTTGTGTTTCCGTTTGTGATTGTATTTGCGTTTATTTTATGTTCGCGTTGTTTTTTGTGTGTTTTGGTTTTGTTTGGTTGTGGTTGGGTTTATATTTGCTTTTGGATTTGTTTTCGTTTGCTTTTTTGTTTGTGTTTGCGTTAGTGTTTGTGTTTTCTTTGTGTTTGTGGTTGGGTTTGTCTTTGCGTTTGTTTTTGTGTTTTCGTTTGTGTTTGTTTTGTGTTAGTGTTATGTTTGCGTTTTTTGTGTGTTTTGGTTGGTTGTGGTTAGGGTGGCACAGGTTCTAGAACAATACTTCAATGATAATTTTTTTTCTCTGAACTTGGCGGGATACAGGGCAGGTGAAGTAGAGTTAATCTGTTTCTTTGTCCTAAGCATATGAAGGGATAGTGTGGTCTGAGACATGCTCCGCTGGAATCGTTTTTTTAAACGATAAAAACATGTCTGAGAATTGGCGGGACACTTGGCAGGTGAAGTAGAGTTGAGCAGGTCACCTGTCACGTCAGTATATGAAGGGATAGTCCGAAATCGGTGTTTTCGGTGTTTTTAAAAGATAAAAAACATCTTTTTGAATGTGGGGTCTGGTTTTTTGTGACGATAAGTGACAGACGTGATGTTTTTTATGGATGACCCCCGAAACCCACAGTTATCCAACGGATGACGGATAGTCTAGTAAGATCTAATTTGGCACAATTCATCTTACATAACGACGATCGTTGGAGCATTTTTAAATATTCTAAGCTTCCGGTTACTAACATGACCGAGTCTTGCATTTTCGAGTTTGTCTCTTTAAAAAAAAAACCACCTGATCTTCATGAACATACCTCTGGCAGACAGAATAGAAAAAGGAAATCCGGATTTGTCAAATTAAAAACATCACGATATAAAACTTTTTACTTAGCACGGAGATCACGTGCTTGATTTGACACATAGCAGCAGTGGCGTAGCCAGGATCGTCTCAAGGGGGGGTACCAAATTTTACCCGGGGACAAGCTTTCGATTTGCAACTTTCCCCCTCAAAACTTTTGATTTGCACCCCCCCCCTCAAACTTTCGATTTGCACCCCCCTCATACTTTATATATAGACCGATGGGTCTATGGGGGGGGGGGGGTTATAACCCCCCCCCCTAACCCCCCTTGCCTACGCCACTGCATAGCAGACAACTTACGTGTCCTCTTATAGATTCTTGTATCAAAAGATGTGTCATACTTTTTGAACCTATTTCTGCTCTTATCTTTTATGTTCAGACTGATTAGTTTCAAGATTAACCTTTTTATCTAACATTATATTGACATCTGTTAAGTAGGGATTACTTACAAATTGCTTTCAAGAGCATTATTTTGACGGAATAGTTTTGTTGATTTAGACACTTCAAACAATTTTTTATCGCTCTCGACCAGACGCAACAGTGTAGCGTCACTATTGCAGTATTTCTTCAACTTGATATTTTCATTACGGGGGGGAGGGGGGAGTATGGAGGAAAACTACTTTTTACGGATGGGGGTGGACATTCGTAAAAGTATATGATTTCTATATGAATTCCATTTCGTTCGGGGGGCGTTAGATTTTCTTACACCCCCTCCCTGCCCGAACGAACTCTGTACTATAGTTTTCGTTTACACCAAATTAACTGCGAAAATAATGAATATTTATTTATTAAATTGTTTAAATCAATACATTCTTTCGTAATCAACAGGTTGGTAGGAAGTAAAGCATTGGGCATATTTCTAACAGACAGAAGATTTTGACAAGAATCATGGCCTGTGAGTATATTCACGTAAAATAACCGTTGTATTCAATACATCAAAGAAAAAAGGGAGGGTTGAGGCATACTGAACTTAATCTTATATCTTAAATGATTAAAAATGAGAAATTAAGTTCTATAAATTAAACATATAACCAATAATTGCAAAAAGACTTTAATGTAACTTTACAGAAAATAATGTAAAACAATATAATTCTTAAAAACATGAATTGTCAATTAAACAACATACAAATACTAAAACAATATTAGAGAAAAAATGTTTGAATAAAGAAAAAATCGAAAGAACATCAAAACAGAAAATAAGCAGAAAGTAAACGAAAATAAATAGGCCTACCCATCCTAATATATAAAAGTCCCCGTGCACACTTCTCTGTCTCTCTCTCTCTCTCTCTCTCTCTCTCTCTCTCTCTCTGTCTGTCCGCAAAATAATTTCGCCGGACATCACATCAGAAACTGCAGCGATATATGAAGAACTTTATACGTACTTTTGTTGAAAATAATATGTTAGATGTTTTAAATGTATAACCACAATTTTATTTAAAGAAGAAAAATAAAAAATAAAGGCGTATTCGAATGTAGAAAAACAATTTTAATTATGCAACCGGAAAAGTGTTTAAACTTGGGACAATAACGCATTTAACAATGCCGTCGCTTATTGTTTACACTAAAAAAAGAGCACGAAACTGATGACGTAATCTTCCGAGTTGAGAATAAAAATAAATGAACTATTTCATTCAAATATGATTTAAAGCTATGTACGCTATGAAATGTATACAATACGATTTTCACAGGCCTAAACTTAAAAAAATTATTTCATCTATCTGGATTCCAGATCTAGATATTCTATATCTAGATATTCTAGATCATCTAGATCTAGATATTCTAGATAATCTAGATCTAGATATTTTAGATCATCTAGATCAAGAGATTCTATATCTAGATATTCTAGATCATCTAGATCTAGATATTCTAGATCATCTAGATCTAGAGATTCTAGATCATCTAGATCTAGATATTCTAGATCATCTAGATCAAGAGATTCTAGATCATCTAGATCTAGAGATTCTAGATCATCTAGATCTACAGATTCTAGATCTAGATTATCTAGATCTACGGAAAAACTAGACTTACACAGATGTAGACCCTACCTAGATCTAGAATCTATTCAAATAATAAATTTCTATACTAAAGTATTTCAGGCCTTAATTACTTTATTGAAATCTATGCAATTTGCTAATCTCTATAATATATAAAGCTAAGTTGTCGGGTGCCCGATAGGGCACTTTCCGGCGCCACAGGCGCTTCAAATTTGGCAGGATCTTGCCTTGGGGCGACAGAACACGGGGGCCGGTTGGCCGAAAAGTCTACGATGAGGGGGTCAAAACTGACCTCGACTGACAGGCGCCTTATATGGGCGAATTTATTAAGCATTCAAATTCTCAATGTTTTCGAAAGCCTAAGCGAAGCTGGGCAGCATGCCTAGTTAGTCTATAAAAAGTGAAGAAATGACATGGGTTATGATTTTGAAACTGGAAGCGGATTTAAAAATTAAAAAGCAATGTTCTTGACAATTTTGGTTTAGCGATTTGTTGAATCTAAATAAAACGTACATCTGGTATTATTATATTCGGTAGGCATGGTTAGTAGACTTACAGTCTCTCATAACTTACTGTTAAAGAAATGATGAATTTTATAATTTTAAAATTTGCTAAAACAATACATTGAAAACTATACAGCGAAAACCAATCTAGTTTTTAAATATATAGCATGTTTTAAAAATTAAACTACTTGTCATTTCTAATGGCATGTAACAGAAGTGTCCAGAAAGTTTGGTTATTTCTGTACACCAGACACCTGTACAGCTGATTCCTTAAATAAGTTTCTACTTCAGGTGGGTATGTGTTCAAGTCGACCCTCTCAACAAAGACAGGAACGATAACCTGACCTCGTACATTGAACTCTCGCATGATGGCCAGGTTCATCTTATACTCTCGGTAGTGATCCAAGAAAAGATCTTCAGACAACAAGACCAGCGTTTTTCTTGTGCCAGTTATAGCTCCACTGATGTGTGACACCATGTCCCCACCTGGAAAGTCCACTTCTCCTAAAATGTAAGAGATGTTCTTTTCTCTCAGGAATGGCAGAAGGGTATTTTTAAGGATACGCCGTAATCTCGGTTCTCCCTGTTTACAATATAAGGACAAGTGAATATAACTTTAGAGGTTACCTGTAACCTATTTCAACAAAAAAAATCTGATATTAATAAACATGTTTCTATGCCAAAAATACTATCCAATAAGTTTCGTTTTATCTAAAAAAAAGCATTGTAAGTGGAGTCAAGAGTAAAAAAAAGAAACCGGGAGTGATCTCCCCTAAACTTTCTCGATTATTCTTATATAAAACAACAGGGGATGGTAACTCGGGATATATACATGATTTTTAATCCATGTTTAATTACTTACAGTTTTTAAAATCGAATAGAATCTTTTAGAAAAAAGAATTGCACACCATTTAAACGCAAAACCAAATGTGAATAATAGTGCGGATTATTATTGGTACTTTATAAATAAAATAGAGAAAATTACTACTTCCTGTCAAAAGAAATTACTCAAAATTTAATAGAAGGCAGAGAATTATATCTTTAACTTATATGTAAACGTTCATTTATCTATCTGAAATAGTACTCAAGTTATAGGCTCTTGAAAAATTGAAAGTAGAAAAAGTTCCTCTTCTGGTTATCGGAAATCGCTAAAAGTTGATACGGATCTACGATTTTGATTTTATACTTATATATGAAATCTACCTAGCTCTATGTGTTAGAATGTATATTAAGCACAAGCCCAGTTTTTTTTAAAATTAAACAAATGTATTGTACCTCGTGAAAGGTAGTGACGTACCTCGTCGTAAGTTATGAAGACATCAACCTGTGGGTTGTAGTTGACTAAACGTCCACCGATGTGCAGCCGCCGTTGACCAATAAAGTAGAGGTACCTCAGCCTCCAGCGGTAATGGAAAAACACGGCCAGAACAAGCAAACACAGGAGATGGATGAAAAACACTGACAGCACGTAGCTGAAATTTTCTTTTATTTGACACGATTTTGAGAACCCTGGAAATTGCTCGATCATCTGAGAGTAGTTAAACTTTACACTTGTTTCTGTCGCAAAGAAAATGTTTTCTCTCTTATAGAAAATTTCCCGACTTTTAGCTAACAGATTCAGGATTGGAAGATTGGCGCATACAAATGAAAACACGTTACCCTGCAAATCTACCAAAAACGCAGGGTTGCGTGACTTTAACCTTTGCAACTCATTTGCCATTTCACGTGTGATGCCCGTCAGATGATTATATGACAAATTTAAGTAAGTCAAATTGAGATGACTTAAAACTGACGAATGAAATGATCTAATCTGATTGTAGCTCAAATCAATTTTTTTCAGGCTCTTTGGAAATTTGTAATTACTGTGAATTTGGTCAAAATTTAAGTTTGACATCTGAAGTTCTTCCAGACACAGTAGATGTGACATAAGAAAATTAAAATTCACTTTTAAGTCGGAGGAGTATTTTATGTGAGATATGTTTAAAGTTTTAAGACTGTACATGCCTAGTAAAGATTCAGGGATATTTAGGTTGTAAGACAAATCCAAAAATTCTAGGTGATGTAATCCAGTTCCTTCAGATTCATGATGCATTCTTTCTTGCAGTATTGAAAAGTTTTCATACCTGTTTGATGTTAAATAAGTAATCAATTTCAGAGACGACACATGTTAAAACAGACAGCGAATGCAAAAAAGACATTAATCGTTACTTTCTTTAGTTAGGAGGTGACTCAATTTAATATATTGTAAATAAAAACAAATGTCAATATAAAATATACTATACTTATTTACTTTTACATATTACTGTTAATTTAAACCACAAGACTTAACCCCGTAGAACAATGAGAGCAAAGGTCTTCAATACACATCCAAATGGCTTCATTTTGGGCGATCAGTAACTTTAAGCTGTTGTAGCAATGAATTTGAGCGATATTGCATAATTTAACTTGTGTGTTGGAAATTCTCATCTTGCTCTCAATGCACTGGGATGTGAAATTTTAGGAAAGATAGGAAGAGACATCTGCAAAATCAAGATATGTCCGCTTGTTGGTGAAGTTCCAATGGATTTCTGTGTTGTCGATTATAATATTTAGAACAAACCATATGAGTTACTATTAAGATAGTCATTGACGAAAGAGTGAATTTCTTTCGTACTTCTGTCTTCACTTTGAAGGGTTTTTTAGCGTTTCTTGTGGGATTAACTATCAGGTCGTTATGATATCATCATAATAAAATTGTTTCTTGTTTGTACACAAGACACATAGTGAAGATGAAATAGAGTCCATCTGTTTCAAAGACATCGACATAGAGGGTGATATTGTGGTCAATACTATGCCCGGCCTACTTTGTTTCTCTAACGTGAGTCAGTAACTTATTAGAGCTGGATGATCTAAGGAATGTTTAGGAACTAGAATCTGTGATAAACTGCCTTGCCGAAAACTGCCTGTTCATGTTTAACTTTTAGTCCACTATCTAGGATAATTTTGTCAGATAAATCTTACTTGGGACAGACAGAAGCATTATCCATACCCAGTAGGTTCATAGTGACACGTCTCCTATCTTTGGCAGCTTTAGAAGGTATGCGAGTTTCCAGGCTGAGGGGTGTATCTACTCTTCCGAAGTTCGCATTGATAGTGTTTTTAGAAGCATTCTTTTACGGCCAGGTCTTTTTTGAGTGCCTCTGGTAGAAAACCGACTGACAAGCTGCTTTGCTAGATTTCATACTCATTTTTTCCCTTACTATTTTAGACTTAATGAGGGTGGAGGCGTGTTCACATTAATTTGTATTTTGCATTTAATATAGTGGGCTTAGTTAATGAGACCGGTTTGCTTAGAATCTCTTCAATATGCTCGTTGTATATATTCTAACTTTTAATGTTTACTGCTTTATCCTTCAAATGTTTGTTAGGATTAATGTTCTTGCTTCCAATGGTTCTGGTTATTTTATATATTCTTTTAATGTTTCCTTACCTTATTGCAGTTTTTGCTATCTCTTTCATCGCATGGGTAAACGTTCATATTTTTTTACACTCTTTCTTATCATGTGATTTAATTCACAATATTCTGCTCCAATGTTTATTTTCTATTTGTCATTCTGTAAATGGTTAATCTTCATACCTCTTCTTTAACGATCAGTTAAAGTCCTCCTTTACTGTTCTTAAATATGCAATGTTGAACTTTAAGTGTGGTTTACATGCTTGATCCCAAAATGATTTTATCTTTAATTTTAATGTTGCATCACAAGCTGCTGCATCGACACCACGTCTTACTTTAACATCCAAGCCAGCTTATTTACGTCGAACTGAGACTGGTTCTCCATGCTATCACAAGTGCAATACCTCAAATGTGTTCGTGGTCTGTACCCTCATGGCCTCACTAATCAGATTCCCTGTGCCACAAAGCGCCTACTACCCGGAAAACTTACATTTCATATCCTGGATAAAATATTATAGGACCTTCTTAAGTCCACCCACACCGATGGGTGCATAACTTAAGGTAGAGGCTTTTACCTCAATTTATAATGGACGTTAACAGCTTAAATATGTAAGGTGAGAAACATGCCTATTGAAGTTTTAACGCTGAATATAGTAGCAATCCTTACTCGCTATGCGGAACGCCCTATTAACGGATACGAAGAGCTAAGATAGTCGCTGTGGAACTCTGGGCACTAAACAGTGTATTGGCTAAAATCGATTTTCCCCTGGGTGTCGCACATAATAAATTAAAGTTATTTTAGAGAACTTCTCTGGAGTATTCTCATCAACTCCCTAAAGTTTCATTGCATTCGGATGAACGGTGTCGAACCGCATCCGACTTTTAGTTTGTATATACAGTATATAGAGAAAAATCGCACACTCCCGAGGCGCCGCCCTTAAATTAAAAAAATGGTTTTGCAGAAACCTCCCTTGGAATTTTCAAATCAACTGCCCAAAGTTTCATGGCGATCGGATGAAAAGTGTTGTCATGCATAAAAGACAAACACACAGGCACACAGACAAACATACACAGACGCACATACATACTTTGCTTTTTATATTTATAGATTAAAAGACTCATGTTCATCACTCACAATTTATACTTTTGTGTGATATTCCTAAATCGAGTAGAAACTCTAAAATTAAAAATAAATATCAGTAAATTCATAGTATTACCTTTTCAACACACTTGGTTTTTCTGACCTAAATAATTGATGGCTCAAATCTAAATATTTCAAAGTATTTACATTACCCAACAAATCGTCAAGTAAAAAGTTTAAATTAATGATGTTTCCACTTACGTTGAGTGTTTCCAATTTAGGTGGAAAAGAAAAATTCCATCGACACTTGTGATACACCATTATATTATCGGAAACATCTAAAGTTATAATGTTTGTGTCTACAAAACTTTCAAACACACCGCATAACTCGAAATTTGGGATTTGTTCCAAGGAATTCAGAAGAATCTTAGGGCAATTCAACTGGTGGAACAACTTCTTAGCATCGACAATTTTCTGTAGTGTAAGAGGTGTGTAACTTAGGTCCAACTCTGTAACGTTTGCCTCCATAATAAGCGAAGTTTCAGATAAGCTAAAGATTCTGCAATGTTTGAAACTGATACTCAATTCATGTCGTGATTTTATATTTTCAAAATAGAAGTCGCCTAATGTGAGTATATTACCGTAAGGCACAAAGTCCAAACTCCGCAGGTTTTTTAACTTCTGGAATCCGGGGCCCAGTTTACAGTCCGTTCCATATAAACGTAAATTCTGAAGGCCAGTTAACGCTGAAAATGCCTTATCTGGATAACATTGCGATGACGATACCGGATTGAAATCTAAAGATCCTGAAAAATACAAGTTAGATCTTAATTAAGACAATTATTATTATCTAAAATATTCAAATAATCAATATATGCCGCTAGGTAGTGTGTCATTATGTCATTCCTTCATCGGCACAGCAGCTGTGTCTTCGTTTTTAAATCTAATAGAATGTGTTCTCATAACATTTAATCGCTAAAGCACTATTACTAGATGACCCAATTTCCAATTCGGAAGCGGTCTATCGGCTGAACTGCACAACACAAGCCAATATTTCAATATGCCCACCTCGCCCTTTATAGTAATAAATCCCCAAATGAATTTCTGTTCTTTGACCCAAACTCCCGTCAGATCCTATTGGGACAACGATTTATGACTTAAATGCACGGTAGGAGAGGGGTTCATAGAAAAGTCGAGTTTTGTGAAAGCTTTAAAAAGAGTAGGAGGGGGGTAGTTTAACGGTAATTTCCATACATTAAATATAACACGTGCATACTACTACCAAAAGAATAAAAACGTATATATATATATATATATATATATATATATATATATATATATATATATATATATATATATATATATATATATATATATATATATATATATATATATAATATTATTCAACGAAACACTTTATTACTTTATTAGATTATTGTCCAGATAAGCTCCGCCAAAAATAACTCCCGCCACCAAAAAATGATTAAAAAATGAGGAAATGAAACGTGTACATTAAGATTTTAATTAAGATGGTAAAATTGGAAAATTCATTAGTAATTTGCACGATAAGGTCTGTATTTTGTTACATTTAACTCTAACCCTAACCCCAACGTTAACCATAACCCTCAATCACAAGCCCAACTCCAAATCAAACACCAACCCCAACTCTAACAGTAACCCTAATCCTAACCCTAGAGACTTATTAGACGTTTTTAATGGCATTTGTTTAGATATTCAAATGACTAGCCACAGTAACATTACATTTTACTTAAATGGTTGCCTAATTATTTTTTATGAATTAATTAAAAAATTGACCAAATAAGTAGGCAGTCTTTTACAACTTTTCCGCACTATTTTACAGGCGTTATCGCGTTCATTAGGTGAGAATGGTTTTAAGTGATGCAAGAAATTTTTTTTATAAAAAAGTTATTTGTCAAAATTCTATGTGCTTTACTACACGTTGAATGATATTAGTGACAAAGCAAAATAATAACTAAATAGCTAAAAGTCCGACACATTTAAAATAACATAGACTACCAATACCTATTAGAAAAATTAAAACCAAATTATATACATTATTAGTCAACACAACAACATGTTAAATGTGTTAACAGTAAAAGGGTATTATACATACCGTATATATATATATATATATATATATATATATATATATATATATATATATATATATATATATGTTACGGTCAGAGCCCGAAGTCGGCCAATGCTAGGATTGGCCGGCCAATCCGAGCACTGGCCAATATCGCCTCCCATAGGTCGGTCAAAGGCCGAAACTTTGCTTCTAAATTAGATCATCTGGCTATGGACGACCGGCCAAAGTCCGAATTAGAAGATCATGAGCAGATTTTGGTTTTTTTTTATGCCGTAAGGATCATGAAATTAAGTCTTTATTGATTATTAATTAAAGTAAATGACAGAAACATTCAAATTTTTTATTGTACTATAGTCTCAATCTAACAATATCATCATTTGTTACAACAAGTTGAACTTTAATGGCATTTAGAATTACATAGCAGCTTGTTATTTTTACACTTGCAGCGATTTGTTGTGCACTTAG